AACTTACAACTAAAGCATGTCTTAATCACAGCTGAACCCAGCCAAACATGTCACAAAAACACAATAATCCATCAAAAACAATAACTTCAACCACTACACCTGTAACAACAACTGGAACACTTGGCGCCAAAAAAAACAGTTTGAAACTTTAGCTGAATTTTTCTGCATTTCCAACAAATTATCACCATCTTCAACACTCCTGTTTGATAATCTTGCTGGAAGCACCAAGTTTGAGTCTTAAATTCTCAAACTTGGCATTGGATAAAGCCTTGGTCATGATGTCTGCCACTTAGTCTTCATCAATTTGTTTTCCTCCCAATTCCATACACTATTTTCATCTACTTTCACATCTCTAGTGATGTGAATTTTCTTAGTTTCTAGAACATAAACTCTGTAAGCCTTGGATTGAGCACTACAGCCAATGAAAATTCCTATCATGTCTTTGTCATCAAACATACTTCTCTTAACTACTGGGATAAGAGCATTGCATATACTCCTAAAAATTCTCAGATTCTCCACTACAAGCTTCACCCCATACCAAGCCTCATATGGAGTTTGATTAACCAAGGCCTTAGTAGGAAGTCTATTGAGTAAATAGACCCCGATGTTCACTGCCTCTGCCCAAAAAGACTTGGGCAATTTCTTCTCAACAACCATGCACCTAGTCATCTTCATAACAGTCATATTTTTTCCTCTCACTGACTCCATTTTGTTGTGGAGTATAGGCACTACTAAATTGGTGTCTAATTCCAGCCTGCTTGCAAATTGATTCAAGCTCATTTGAACTGTACTCACTCCCATTATCACTTCTCACTATTTTGATACTAAGGCCAATTTGGTTTTCAACTTGCAGTTTAAATCTTCCAAACACAGCTGCAACTTCACTCTCTTGTTTCAGAAAATAGACCCAGCACAGCCTGGACCAATCATCAATGAATAAGAAAAAGTACTTGCTCCCATTTAATGAAGGTGTATGCATAGGTCCACACACATTTGTGTGGATGAGTTGGAGTTTCTCAACAGCTCTCCAAGCTTGGTTTACAGGAAAAGGTTGCCTACTCAACTTGCCAAGTTGATAAGTTGCACACATAACCTTAGTTTCTTCAATCTCGAGCAGATTCTGGACAAGATTTTTTGTCTGAATTTCTCTAAGACCATGGTAGTGGAAATGGTCAAATCTCATGTGCCATAACTCAGACTCATTTACTTTAGCAGATAGGCTTTAGGTTATGGTTTTTTCATCCTAATAGGGAAGCTTTTTCCCATCATTCTAACCTTCACTAGTTCACTACCTTCACTGTCCAAAATTGTGCAGGACTGGTCTTGGAAATGCAAGACATAATTCTTTTATAGCATTTGTCCTACATTAAGCAAATTGTGACTTATTTCTGGCACATAAAAGACATTTGCATTCAGTTTAATACTTGACCTTGTTTGCACAGCAACATCTCCTTTCCCTTTGACATCCACAAACTCTCAATTCCCAACTCTAACTCTAGAGTGATATGCCCTGTCCAAGTTCAAAATCTTGCAAGTTTGCTGTCATGTGGTTGGTGCAGCCACTGTCTATCAACCAAGCATCATTACAAACTTGAGCTGCACAGCAAGATGCCACAAATAGTTGCTCAAATTCTGAATTTGGCTACTAATCTTCAATAATCTAGGCTTGCTGTGGTGGTTGGTTTGGCTTGTTTTTGCAAACTTTTTCAATCCAAATTGCTTATATGCTCTACATTGAAGGTTTGGTCTGAACCAGCACCTATTCTCAGAGTGACCCTTCTTCTTGCAGTGAGAACATAGTGGATACTCCTTCATTCCACCTAATTTGTTCCAATAATTACTGGTTTTCTCCTTCCCTTTCTTATCTTCAGCAAAGCTCTTGTTTCCTCCCTGAATAGCTTTGCCTTTAAAGCCTGCCACCATCACACCCTCACTTGAATCCTCTTGTCTCTACTACCTCCTTTGCTCTTTAGCTTGTAGAGCACTCACCAATTCTGTGAGTGTGATCTATGACAGATCTTTAGAGTCCTCAAGTGATGAAATCTTGGACTCAAAGCTCTCGAGTAGGCTCACCAATACTTTCTCCACAATTCTTTTGTCTGTCATTTCCTCACCCAACAATCTAATTTTATTCACCACATTCATCAACCTATCCACATACTCCTTTAATGATTAATGATTCTTGCATCTTCAGCATCTCAAACTCCCTCCTTAAATTCAATACATGCATATTCCTAGTCGTATCAATACCACCAGACTCCTCCTTGAGCTTGTCCCATGCTTCCTTGGCTATTTCATCCGCCATGATTCTTGTGAAACCAAGTTCAGTTACAACTGCATGAATGTGAGACAAAGTTCTAGGAGCTTTAGTAGCTTACTCCTCATGAAGCTTGATTTGGTTCAATGTGGGGTTTAGCCCCAATGTAGGTGGTTGCTTGTTCTCTTCAACATACTGCCACAAACCTTGTCCCCTTAGGAAAATCTTCATTTTGATAGCCCACATGTGATATTGTTCACCATTGAAGGCTGGAGGAGTAAAGGAAGCTGCGTGTTGTGCCATTGAATCATGTTATTTGGAGTTTGATAGGAAATTTTACCGTAACAAAGGTTGAGAAGTTGGATAGGAGAAGATGAGTGTATCAGGCCCTTTAAGATCAATAAGTGCTCTGATACCAATTGTTGGTTCTATTAGAGAGTGATGAAGAGGAGATATTAAGCAAAAGAGAAAGAGACTACAGGCATGAAATATGTGCTCTGGTTTTCATTAATAAAACAGGGATAATATATACAAAACAGTCCACTGTTACAGCTAATTCAGTAGATCTTTTTACAAATTTGATTTTGAAATAAAACTTAAAACTAAACCATGTCTTAACCCAACTAAACATGTCACAAAAACATCACAATAATCCATCAAAAACAGTAGCTTCAACCACTGCACCCATAACAGCAACTTGAACACTTGGCGCTAAAAAACAGTTTGAAACTTTAGCTGAATTTTTCTGCATTTCCAGCAAATTATCACCATCTTCAGCAATTTTCAATAGGTGTAAGCACAACCGCACTGCTTTGGCATCGATGGTGTAATATCCAAACAGGCTCCCACTCCGTTGTACAAAGTTTTGCAATCCAACTTGCAATTGTCTTCGCCTGAGCACATCCAAAGTTGGCGGCACTCTTTTGCTTCCGCCATGGCCACCGTCTCCTCACCTGCATAAAAATACCAATACATACCCAGCTATTAGCTACTGCAAATTGCAAAACAATACTTTTCAGATTAATGTAATATGCTTCTTAATTATTTTATGAGAAGAGTGCTTAAGACATTGATGGGTGTTAACCAACTGTAATAAACGAGATCCAACATGAGTGTATATCTGTTGGATTCACTTACAGGGATAACGATAATGGTAACGTTACCTTCAGTAACATAATTCTGATAATAGAGTAACTTGTTTTTTTTTTGAAAAGAAAATGAAGGAGGAGGCGCAAAAAACACACAGAACTGAGCTTTGCCATCTTTAGAATATGGGTGGTGTTCTAAACTATAGCTATTTGATTATATTTGCTAAAGGCCTTGGTATATATGTGTGTATATATATATATATATGTGTGTGTGTGTGTGTGTGTGTGTGTGTGTGTGTGTGTGTGTGTGTGTAATTTTAATAAATATATTCATATAGTTGGATCGAGATTTCATTAATCTTCAATTAATGAAATCTTTATATCATATAACTTTAGTTTCATATTAGGGAGAACGACATATTCTCACCCAAGGTTTGGCGATACGAGACTTTTCCATCCGATAAGTTTCAAAATGACACTTTCCCACCCTTTGTCAGGTTTTGTTAGTATTTTCTGTTAATATTTGACTAAAAAGACGAAAATACCCTTAAATGGTTTATTTTTTAATTAGTTTATTATAAATTGAAATTTAGTTAAGTCAAAGTCTTTACTCAATTATTTATTAGTTCAAATGTAAAGAAATATTTTTGTTTTTCCTTTGTTTATTTAATTAATTAGGAATATTGATTTTCTAGATTAATTAGTAAAAATGATAAGCATTATAAATTTAGTAGATTATTGAATAATAATGATGGGATATTGATGACATTATAGATAAATAAATAAATATTGAGGTCATTTAACTTTAACAATTGCATAGCATTACTCTAACTTTTTAGGTGGGGATTAACTATTTTTTCTTTTTTGACTTTTTAATATTCAACTTTTTGGCTAAATAAAAAATTTATAAAGTCAAATATTTAAGGGTATTTTCGTCTTTTTAATAAAATATTAACGGAAAACATAACAGGACCTAATGAAATGTGGGAAAGTGTCATTTTGAAACTTGAAGGGTGGAAAAGTGTCATTTCGCCAAACCTTGGGTGGGAAAATGTCGTTCTCCCTTCATATTATTAGTACGTAAATCAGAAAGTTTAGGCATAAACAGAAAGCAGATTTGTGTCATTAATGGGCAGTAGATTTCTTTAGATATAGCACATTAAATCATAACTGCTCCCTAAGCAAGTTTTTTTTTTTTTTTTTTTCCTTTGTATCCGAAGGTGTCCAGGCCAGCTTGCCCATACCTCAACTAACCCCACTAGGGTCCTAAAGTTAACGTCAATTAAGCTTCCAGTGGCTACCCTTATTAGTTGTTATGGGGATTCAAATTCAAGACCTCTTGAGTAATATACCCAATACCTCTTGAGTAATACACCCAAGAGTCTCAAGCAAACTGCCAAACTAACTAGAGGTAGTTTCCCTAACTAAGTTAATGTCAATAAAATCTTCATCAAATCCTTCCCAATAAATCTGGTTCAAATTTAGGCTTTTCTCTTAAAAAAAAAAATATATATATATATATATAAATTCTTTCTTAATTTGGTGAGGTATCAGTTATATAATTTGAAATATATAACTCAAGTTTAAATATTATACAGAACAACTTGAGATTACACTAGTACAACATTCATTACTTAATACAAATTATGGGCCACATAAGTCTGGTTTTGTAGGAATCATTCACTGGGAAGATTCATTTATTTAGATTACTGAGTGGATATTACGTTGATGATGATCATCAACAATCAACACTTGTAGGCACAAAAGCATTGCTTAGGGACGCCGGGCGCGGTATATAAATCACAAAGCCCCTTGCCATTGTAACTATTTTTACAGTCATCCCAGCAACGTTTGTCACCTTTGCAGTTCCAGACCTTGTTGCAGTCTTTTGCTTCTGCCATGGGAACCAATACTTCATCTGCAAAGTCATAATAAGTCATGATTAACGCACTATACTCTTTTGTTCTCTTCTTCATTAATTCTGGTTATGTTTTAATTCATATATATATATATATATTTGCTTCGTTTTAAAACCCACCCTGGCCCAGCCAGTTTAATCGGTCTATCCGAGATTCAAGGCCTTTCGCCGGGTTGGGTCACCCATTTCCACTGTTTCTTGCCTGAATAAGCAAACCTTAGAGAGGAAGGTGGCGATCGGCGAGCAGATGGCGGCGGGGCTATTGGGGGGTTTTGGAGAGGAAGAGTCGATGAGTTGAAACGTGGCGACGAAAGTGATTCTGGTGAGTGAAACAATCGGAAAAGGCAAAAGTCGCACGACCACAACAGCGAGTTGTTGCCGACAATTGGCAGGGCTAACAAGGGGGTGAGATAGGTTTTGGTCAGGAGGGTGAGAAGAGTGTTTTTGTGGTGATGGGGAGTGTTGCCGACGCTGGAAACAAGCCTATTTGGCCTAGGTTGTCGACGTCGGCAATGGGGTTTTTTGCCACAAAATAGTTCATTTTCAGCCATATCTTGAGTAGATTTGCTAGGCAATGGCTCAAAGGATGAGTAGGATTTGCATTTTGTGTGTCGCCATCACCAACCAGTCAACCGCCAATTTGCATTTGGGGTGCGTTTGATGGATTTCAAACCTGTAGGGACTGATGATAATTTTTTAGGGGCATGTTTGCTAGATTTCAAACCTGTAAGGACATATTAAATTTTTCAAGGGTGTGTTTGCTAGATTTCAAACCTCTAAACATGCTAACATCACTTTGCCAGGTTTCAGCCTTGGTCGGTTATTAGAACACTGGGTTTTAGTAATAGAAATATGATGCCTGAAAATTAGTTAGCCACCAATATGTTCTGACACCTTAATATGAATAAAACTTAAAGTTGAAAAACAGAAGAGATTGATCATGCAGTCATAAATTAAGTGTGTATATATATAGGAGAAATGAATAGAGATTTACCACAATTGAAGCTAATGAGGACAAGCAAGAAGATGATGGCAGAAAGTTTAGCCATATTTAGGATTAGTACTAATTGTGCTAATTGATTTGTATATGCTGGTTTATTGAGTGCCTTAATTTATAGGAGTAGAATAATATTCTTTTCTTTTTTTCTGGGCTGGAAATTGTAAGTCAATTCAAGTAAATGGTTTTTTATTTAGGAGTTATCTATCTGCTAACTGCTAAAGTGTTCTAGGTTGGAAATGTTGGATATCTTTAATCTTTAGCAACAGAAATTGAGAACACGCTATCCAATGGTTAGAAGATTATTATATTTTAATCAACATGAACTTGCACTTAAATTTCTTGCTTACTTGACTAGCTAGGTTATGGCAACTTTCCAGGTCCATAGCTTAAAACTTACGTTAAGGAAATGCATTAAAAATAACCACCATTGGGTGGCAATGGTGGTTGAGTGATCAATTAAGACTCTTGGGTGTATTATTTAAGTAATCTTGAGTTCAATTCACCTTAACTGCTAATAGGGTAGCCACTGGAGGTTTATCTAGTTGCTAACTTCAAGGTCTCGAAGGATTAATCGAGATACGCATAAGCTGACTTGGACACCTCCAGACAAAAAAAAAAAAAAAGATTCATCTGGTCGTTAACTTCAAGGCCCCAGATGCATGCAAGCTGGATGAACACTCCCAATCAACAAAAAAAAAAAAAATGCATTAGAAATAACCATAAGTGAAAAAGGAAATGGATTTAACTGTTAAATCCAGGGTTTTATGAGAATAGGGGTCTGTTTGGGGCGAGAATATGTTTAGAAATTGTCAAATCTAGAGATTGATAACAATTAAACCAAAAGGAATCAATATAAAGTAAAAGACCAAAGAATTGCAATATTGAATGATGGAAATGATTTTATATATTGATAAGTTTTTCTTATGAAGCAGTTGCAATAAATTGATGGAATATTTTTCCATTTCTTTTATGAATTCTCTCCTTGATTGTTTTATTCGATATTTTGAGCTTAAGGTTTGTTTTTGGTCTTCACGTTATGTGTCATTAGTTGACAACAATTTGCTTCTGTGGAAATTCATCAAAGATTATACTGAGAAAAAGAATTCAGGTTTCAATAAACCAAAGTTTGACATCGGTTCCTAATGAATTAGAGAATTAATTTCAGAATCATAAAGCTGTTCTTCTCTCACCAAAATCAAAGATTATATGACTTTTGGTGAAGTTATTAGCATCAGATTGAGTCAATCCATCAGAGCGTACTTTTCTTGTAATAGAGATATGTATGCATGGGATACTGTTCTTAACAACCGGTGCAAGTATCTCCTAATCCCATTTTAAAGAACATTTCGGTTTATAAAAGGTTGAGTACTTGTCCCTTAATTTGCTTGTTTTATACATTTTCAAAAGCTATTTTTTGGTTCCTGTTTGTCAAGAAAACCATCGCTATCTTTGCTTCGGCATCCTGATTATTGCATCTCAGCTGGTTATTTACAATAAGTTTACTGCTGCTGTGACTGGATTAAAGCTAACATGAAGTCTGGTGTTTTGGTATAGATTGCAAGTGTAGAGGTTCATGTTTATTCACATAATGGGTTGCGTGATGTATTCTAAGCCCTATATGTTCCTTGACCACACAGGCATGGATAATTAACTTTTAACCATAAGGTAATTAACATTCCAATCTAAGAAAAACATACTGTCAGCAGAGTTAACAATCATACTGCTTGAATCCAATCACAAAAGTTTAACATTATGAAAAGAGAAGAAATTATCACTGCTTGAACCATTCACAAAACAAACACAGAACGAAAAAAGCAATGTCAACAGAATTACTCATCATTTCCAGCTTTCTTGAAGAACCCGTCCCCGGTGCAACTTCCCTTGATTAAAAAAAAAAAAAAAAAAAAAAAAAAAAAAGTTACATATCAGGTAGCATTTCTTGATTTTGTTAGCTTGAGAATGCCAAAAATAAACAAATACACACCCTTTATCATTTCCTCTTTGGCTATTGTCTCAATTTGCTTATCAACAATCTGTTTATTATAAATTTGTAGAATCATTTTATCAATTATACTAAGATTAATAGAAGCGTTAAATTATGTCATGTATATTTTGTGCTAATGTTGTATTGTTGTAAAAAAACTATATTATTTAATATGTCTATTCAACTATATTATTTTCTATCATGTTAATAGATCCGATCTATTTGACATCTCTATTTATTGAAATCCAGTGATTCCTTGATTTGTCTTAAAAGGATTATATCTTCGATCAGTTTATCATATTTAAGTTTCAAAGATTATATTGTAGCGATCAAGTCGAGTTCGATTTATCAGATACTCGACTCGATTTCACCCCTAGTCCTTGCTTCCCTCTCTCATGAAAATTAAAATGATCTTTATGCTTTCTATAGTCTACCAAGTTTAACCTTTAGTTTTTTCTCAAAGAGTGCAGGGTTTAATGAAGTTAAAAATCTTTTTTGAGGGTGGTGAATCTTGTGAGGAGATAGGCTAACAGTCAACTCTCTGATTGTAATTTGTTGGATTTGTGAAGATCATATATACTTAGCTGCATATTACAAATTTTACAAAATGACTGAATTTAATGTTACAACACATCATATCATTAAGTTCCTTTTCAAAATTGAAGTAGGACGAAAGTTGTTTATTTAGCTAGATTAATATATATATAATTAAGTTGATGTTGATGAAGATTTGAGATGATTATCAACACTTGTAGGCACAAAAGCATTGTTTAGGAACGCCAGGTGCAGTATATAAATCACAGAGCCCCTTGCCATTGTAACGATTTTTACAATCGTCCCAGCAACGTTTATCGCCTTTACAGTTCCACACCTTGTTGCAGTCTTTTGCTTCTGCCACTGGCACCAATAGCTCATCTGCAAATTTAAAATCACCATTAAAGACTTGCTCAATGAATTGAAAAGGTCGATATGCTAAACACCTTATCATTAACAAAACATATTAGAAACAGAAGAAATCATTTTAAGTAGTGGAACTGAAAAGAGATAGTGACCAGAGTTATATATGTACCACCAGTGAAGACAATGAGAACAAGCAATAAGAAGCAAATAGCAGAAAGCTTAGCCATCTTTTGATAATACTGCTACAAATTTTATATGTTATGATCTCTTCTGTTATGTGGCTTTATATAGCAGTGGAAGAACCTTCCCATGATAAATCATGTTTTCTTCTGTTCTTAATTATGCAAAAGAAGAGAATGTATATGTCATGCTCTATGACGCAGAATTTTAGGCAGTCTTTCATAATGGCCATATTTAACTAATGACATTAATCAATTTTATATTTGGTTGGATACTTTGGAGTCAGTTTAGAAAATAAATTACTTCTCTATAGAAGAGTTGAGATTTGGAGATCTTTAATCTTTTAGAAAAGAGAACTTGTAGAATCCTATCCAATTGAGATAAGTTTACAATAGTTTATTAGACCTGCAAAGAGAAAACACAAACAATTTCTCAAGTTTGCCACTTTCTAATTTACCTGACTTCGGGTGACTTGGGTTATCTTTTTTCCAGGTAGCTTAAACCTTAAGGTACATAACAGAAACCAATTGAAAATAACCTATATAAAAAGATGGGTAATACTACGCTAATAAACCTTTCTCATTAACTTTTTCTCACAAACGCGACGTGTCAACTCACAATTGGTCAACTCACAATAAGTCATGCCTATCTAACAATGAATCATGCCTAACCAAATGTGAGTTGACACGTCGCATCTATGAGAAAAAGTTAGTGAGAAAGGTTTATCAACATGTCTTTATTATAAAAAGATTCTATCACCATGAGTATAGGATGTTAAATTACTCTATGAAAGCCAAGTCACAAAAGTGGCATAACCACTACAACTAAACATATTTTATTATGCCAAAAATGCATGGCAAGATTCAGACAGAGTGCCAGAGATTCATGTTTATCTCAATTGTCAGGGTACATCTGTAATATGGGAATGAAAGAACAAATCTTCTTTGTGAAAGTCTAATTTATTGGTGTCAAAAGAATACACGACTAACAACAATATAAAGCACTCACACAAGTGGGTTATCTTGGTGACAGGACTGCTCAGCAAGATCAAGTTCTTCTGCTTAGCACTCTCACTAAGTTGACGTTATCTTTGAGAATTAAACATCCCTTTTGGTTGAAAACATCAGAAAAGCTTTTTTCTTCTCCGCTTCTGAAAGCTTAGCGAGGAAACAAGATTTTCAGCTTAATGGATTGAAGACTCTTTGATCCCCTTATTTTGGTTATTTCAGTACCTAATATGTAATAGGCCCAGATGTATAGATTTGCATCACCTTAGTACACATTATATAATTTAGCAGATTGACATAAAAAATAGGAGACATCAAAATGGTAATTCCATATTGGCTTTATGCATTGTAAAATAGCATTATTCCATCTGAATCCCCCATCATAAAAAAAAAAAATGTATAAATACAAGCCGCTTTTGGGTTAAACAATCAATAAGTAGCAGGCGTCTCTGTTCCCCATATTGAAAATTAAGATTCCCTTGGCATACAAACTCATCCAAGAGTATAACTAACAAAAAGACTTAGAGAGACGTCTATGGAAGTGCACGGATTTTACCATCTCAAAGGATCTCTCTCACATCCAAGTTGCAGAAACCCTCTTCCATTTAGTCTTCTTAGATCTTAATCTTTTCCACAGCACCTTCATAAGAAAGCATAGATAAACGAGTGAGCTAATGGAAGAACAGAAAATAAGTATAAAAAACGAGTAAGCTTAGATTGTCTAAACAACTTTATCTCCCTGGAAGAAAGATCACCAAGTTGTAATATATTTGAACCTAAATTGATAGGAAAAAGACATCTACAAAGAAAATTATGTCTTCAGTGCTACATTGATTGACCAACAGACAAATTGTTATCTAAGATTATGACCATACAGTTAAATATTTGTTCACTATTTGTTTCAATACCTAAACTAATGGGAATCTACATCACTGATATCTTGACAATCTCCAATCAGAAAGCAGTATACAGATGTCTGTATTAATATCAGCAAAAATTTAAGCAAATGAAATATCTGTATCCTAAGTGGTTTAGAAGCAGTTTATTGTGTGGTAGAGAAGATACAGTTGAGTTGATTAAAAAATCAAAGCAGCAAAATTACCGTTTATATCTCTTCTTGGAACCACAAGGACAGAGGGCGTTTCTACTGATCTGCCCACTCTTAGCCAAATTGGACCTGGCAACATCTAGTGGTGTTGACCCCATCATCTTTTGAATCTACAAGAACACAATTTACAGTAAATAATATTTCCAATCTTCTGCTTTCAAAATATTCATAAAAATGAATCAAGAACCATTATTTTCATTTAAGCACAGATTATAGAAATTAGAAATCAAGTCAGACCAGAAAATGCCATCATACAAACCATGAACCACTTCATACCCACAAAAAAGGTAAAAGTAGTTGTATGACCATTGAACTAGGCAAAGTAAAAAAACCAACAATTGCACACAGCCAATTTTTGAACAGGTTCAGCTTCACCCAAGGATCATTACAACAAATCCAGGATTTGCTCCAGGTGTAAACATAAGGCATAGATAAGGATACAAAAAAAAATGGTCAAACAAAACATAATTTTAACAGAGACTCCTAATAATTAACAGAGTAAAGCATCTTTGGAATCATTTGAATCATCCATATCAGAAAATATTTCTCAAAAATATTATCAAAAAGCCAGTTTTACAAATATAAGAACCAAACTGAATTTCAAGCTATGATACCTCTGTCATGCTCTTGGGCATTGGCTTCCCTTCCTCCTTTAACTTCTCTATCTTCTTTTGTGCTTCTTTAGCCCAAGTGAAATTAGCAAGAGCATTCTCAACATCAGCTATTGTGCAATTACACTGCTTTGCAGCTTCTTGTTTTTGACTGCTTTGAATATTCTACAAACCAAGAAACCTAAACCCATAATCAGAACACTCAACCATATGCAAAAGTATATATGTACATGTCGCATTGTAAAAATACCAGAAAACTTAAAAACCAGGATTCGAATTCATTACTGATACCACAATGTGAAGTTTATAACATGGATACCCATAGCTCATGATATGCAATGCCAAACTTGGGAACACTGATTGTGAAAATTATAAAAAAAGAGAAGTCTAACATTCTGTAACACAAAATGTGGGCCTGGTATTTTGATGCAGTATGCCAACGGGTATACTATGAGGGAATGTGTTCGGATTTGGGCGCACAATATATTGCTAAATTAATTTCGATGAGCCAAATTAGTAAAAACTTGGGTTGTTATTCATTTGATACCTATTCAATAAAACTACTCAGTTCAATATCAAAGAAAGCTTGGTGTCTGTTAGCACTTCTTAACACAATTTGCATTTCTTCTTCATCATATTTGTAATAAATTCCATTTTAGTATTGACTCCCTAACTCCAAAATACACATTGACCGAGTATAATATGTATTTTAAGGTGAAATAAAAAAATATAAATAAAAAAAATTAACCAACCTCTCCTTTGGGATCAAAACCACCAAGATAACGAAGAATGGCTTCCTGTTTCTCAAAAGCATCAGCAAACGTGGCTTCACTGCTTCTACCCACTATGTAATTCTTAAAAGTACCCAACCTTCTTGCATTCTTTAAACCATCAACAAACTCTACAAATAAAATCAATAAACTTTCACTACAAAAGTTTCAAAAGATTCCTTTTTTGTTTTTTGTTTTTTTTTTTTTTTTTTTTTTTTTTTTTTTTTTTTTTTACGAGGAAGCCAGAGAGTGATGGGGACTTACGAAGGAGAGTGAAAGACTCAGAGGTGACATTGGGGTCTTCTGAGGATGATTTTTTCCCGGTGAAGACTCCTTTGATGGAGTCCATCCATGAGCTTTGAAGTGGCGCCGTGGTGAAGATTGAACGCTGCTGGAATAGAATTAGGTGACGGTTGAGATAAATGTTTCTCAGGATTCGTGAAGACTGCATTGTGAAGTTTTGGGTTTGGAGATGAAGAAGGTGGTGGGGTTCACTTTCTGTAGGGTTTTTTTGGGGGTTTCAGGTCAGAGTCTTCTTCAGTTAAGAAGAGATGGCTTGAAACGCAGCATTTTAAATTATTATTATAAATAAATTTGAAAAATATTGTCACACCGTCAGGATGGCCGAGTGGTCTAAGGCGCCAGACTCAAGTTCTGGTCTTCGAAAGAGGGCGTGGGTTCAAATCCCACTTCTGACAATCTTTCACCAACAAATAGTTGAAAATTGTTTTACTTTTACATAATGTGTTTTTGGGTTTTTTTTTTTTTTTCAATATTTGAAAATGGTTTTACCAAATTGTTAAATCCACAACCCAATCTCACAACCCCCAACGTGGCAACTTGTAGGGTATTTTTATTTTTCAGTAATGCTAAGTTCACAACCTAATCTCATAACATTCTCTCACAACCCCTGACGTGACAATTCGAAAATAGTTTTACGAATGTGTTTTTAGGTATTTTGATTTTTTAGTAATGCTAGATCTATAAATCAATCTCACAACCCCCGATGTGGTAACTTACAAGATATTTTTATTTTTTCAGTAATGTTAAGTTCACAACTCAATCTCACAACCCCAATGCAACAAGTCACAATTGGATCCAGCCTGTTTGCTATGAGTCTCACCTATCCTATAAGATGATCAATTACAAGTTGTCAGAGGGTTGTAAAATTGGGTTGTAGACCTAGCATTACTCTTTATTTTTTTAACTATCAAATGTGTGAAAAAGGTTTTACAATAAGTGTTTTAGGGTATTTAGCCTCAATTACTTACAAATGTTTGGAAATGGGTTTTGGGTAACTAGCCTCAATTACTTGCACAAATATTTGAAAATGGCTTTAAAGAGTGTTTTTGGGTATTCAGGCTTAACTAGTTACAATTTTTTGAACTAGTCAAATACTTTGGCTTCGTTTGGTTCACAATTGGGTGTTTTTGGGAAAAGTTTTCTGAAAAAAGTTGAATTGGGCGGGTATTACGATGTAGGATTTATAAATTAATAAAATACCCCCTATATTTGTTTATTTACAAAACACCCCCTATAATAAAATCTTAAAAGTTAACAAAAACACCCCCAACCCAATGTCAAATACGGACAGCCGGCCACCACCGCCGGAGGGTGGCCGGGTTCACCGTATTGGCGCATGACCGACTGGATCTTGCCGGTCGTGCACCGATATGGCCTTTGCCGGCCAGATCCACCGTGGATCTGGCCGACAAAGGCCAGATCTGGCCGTCAACGACGACCAACAAACGGTCGTTGTTGATGGTCAACGACAACCGTTTGTTGGTCGTCGTTATAAACCGTTATGGCCAAAGATCTGGCTGTCAACGGCCAGATCTTTGGCCTTAGATCTGGCCTTTTCCGGCCAGATCCACCGTGGATCTGACCGGAAAAGGCTAGATCGGCGTACTACCGGCCAGATTCAGCCGGTAGTGCGCCATCCTAACAGATTCCGGCCATTTTCCGGCAGTGGTGGCCGGAATCTGGTAAATATGAATTACTGGGGTGTTTTTGTAATTTTTAAAAAAATATTTAGGGGTATTTAATTAAATTATCAAATTTAAGGGGTTTAAAAAAAGTTGAATAATATTGGGAGTAGTATTCCCAAAAATCAAAGTTTTTGGGTATTTTACTGTTTAACTTTTTTGGGAATACTAAAAGTAGTATTCCCAATTGGCAACCAAACGGAGCCTTTCATTCTTAAAAGTTGTTTCTCTACTTGGAAATAGACACAAAAATATCTTCAGCTAATTCTTTTACAGTGCTTTAAATGAAGGCTAAAGAGCCAGGATTTAAGCACAAGGACTTGAGCAGGATATCGGCCGACCCAATTTCAACCAAGGTTTTAAAACCTGACCCGTGGGGTGACCTGGTCGGAGGGCGAGGTCCCGAGTTGGCCGGTTTAACCACCGAGTCTAACCATGACATCAGCATGTCAACATCAGCAGAAGAATTAAAATTCCAGATTAGAAAATACTGATACTCAATAAATTTTTGTAACTAGTTTATCCAAATCTGAAATAAACAACTAAATAAGCTATAAAATATAAAGCAAGCAACACATTCATTCCAAAATCCTATTACATTTCCATGTCAAGTCAAGGTTGAATTTGGACATTAGATGCAGTCATACAAAGGCAAAATTACTTGTATCATCAATGTCATTGTCGTCGTCATCCGCATCAGCATCTACAAGAAATTTCAAGCAAAAATAACATTATAAGTAAAAATTTGTTATTGTAAACTAAATTGACTAACTAAATTTAAAATTTGTTAGAAGTGTGCAAGCTGCAGTGTGCAAAATTGCAGTGCACAGCTTGCATTCTTCAAATTCAAATCAAACGTATCAAAACATTAACCCACTACAGTGCAATAAAAACAATGAAATCCAAATCAAACACAACACACAAAAATGCATTAACCAACTTCTTTACTATGAAGCCCATTCTCGCAGCAAACAGTCTCAAACCCTAAACACACTTCTTCAATATCAAGCCTCCATCTCTATCTACTCCAGTCCCTCCCTGCAAACCAAATTCATTGAAGCCCCTTTCTCATAGCAAACAATTTCAAACCCAAAAGGACCAAAACCCACTTCTTCAAAATCAACAGTTCAACCCTCCATCTCTATCTACTCCCATGCAACAAGCCAACAATCCAACAAGAACAATGATAATAATGTCAGTAAAAAGTAAAAAGAAAACTAAGCAAAAGAAACACAAACCTTGCCAGAGCTGTCGAAAATTGCAGATTGAAGAAGAAAAAGCTGCCACCGAAGCCTAAGATTGAAGATCAAAAGATGTCGAAGGCCCGAAGATTCGATATTGAAGAAGAAGCAGCCGAAGATTGAAGAAGCCGAAGCCACAATGATATGTTGATTTGTCGAATGAAATTGAAATGCGAATAGGGTTTAAATTTTTTTTTTTTTTTTTTTTTTGGGGTTTTAATTTTTAGGAATGAAGTTAACCCGGTTTTGTGCCAAAACTGGTTCGACCAGCGTTTCATCACAGAAAATCTGGTCCAACCGTGGTTCAAACTGGGTTAACTTCAATTAGCAGTTTTTTAATTGAATCAACCCGGCTTGGCCATCGGTTCCCGGTTCAATTGATTGAACCGATCGGACCAGCCCAGGTCGGGTTTTAGAACCTTGGGTTCAGCTATTGAAGTTTAAGGTTCTAGGCATTTAAGTTATCACTGAGGGTGCGTTTGGTTTGGGGTAAAATAGGATAAATCCTGTAATCTTTGTTTAATTTTCAAGATTCCGTCGTTTGGTTATCAAGTAATATAATATTACAGTAATATTTTATTGCAAATAGTAGTTACTATTGGTAATATTAGGAGTAATCAGATTACCTTCCCAGGGGGTGTTAATGTTAGATTACCAGGGTAATCAGAATTTTTACCCTACTTTGCTCTTAATATTTTATCATTCCGAACACATTTGCCCTTATATATCCTTTAAATTACAAGTATCCCACATTGAGTTAGGCTGACTTTTCTGCCCCCCAAATTCAATTTATTGAGACAAAAAAGCCCTTGATATTTGAAAAAACTACAATATACATATTAAAAGTTGGATTAAACACTAATCCACCATTGTTTTTCTTTTCCTCCACAACGAAAAGCAGCGGTGCTATTAGGGCTCTGTTTCTTTTCCAATCGACGTGAAGCACACCAGGTTGGTTCCTTTCACCGAACATTTGTGTTGCTGTTTATTAAATATATGCTGATGCATTGATTTTTGTTCGTCGTCAAGCAGTTCCAGTCCTGAAGTGCAGCAATTTTTTTGTCAATCTCCGTCACTTTAATCGAGTTAGGTGAGTTGTGTAATACTGTATTTTCTGTCATTCAATTCGCCATTTGCAGTAATCAAACAACTTCGACGAAAATGGTCCATTTTTTTTGTCCATTCATACACGGAACTGCTCCTAAATATATTGATCTTGTGTTTGAATGAAAAGGGGAATGTTGTTGGCATGATAATGTTGGTTTGGAGTGTCAGTGTTTGGGCATGGTTTGATGGTCTGTAGTTTTTAATATGATATGGTCGCTGTAGAGAATGGAGTATGCTGGTTTAAATTCTGGGTTATGATTCCCTGTTTTCTTTCAAATTGTGTTGTTTGAATTTGGGTTTTTTAAATTCTGGGTTATGCTTCCCTGTTTCGTTTCAAATTATGTTGTTTGAATTTGGGTTTGTTACGGCGATATGCATGTGTGATGCAGTGATTGTGTGGATGTTGTTTTTTTGTGATGTGCTATTTGAAATGGTTGGTTGTATCTTCCTAAACTGTGTGGGTTTTACGTTTTCTTGTTTGGGTTTAGCTGGTTGCCATTCCACAGTTTGTCTTGACTATCTAGTGTAGGGGTTGGTGCTAATGTACTTTGAATTGTGAAGTGAAATGGTATAGGTGTTTGTGAGTAATATTATGCTTGTTCGTACATGGAGTAGGTGAAACAATCATGGCTCGTTTACCCCTAAGGTAGAAGATGCGTTTGGTCACAATCTTACTTTTGCAACTGCACATGATGGAAAGCATGTTCGCCATGCTTCTAATTGTTGGGCTTGATATGCTGCATAGGAACAGGAATAATAGGGGTTTTATAACTTACACAGGTATATGCGGCCGAGCGAATTGGTAGGCACAATGCTAGGTCACTCAATTTATAGAACATGGTTTTCACTAGTGATACACAGTGTCTTGAGAACTGTAGAATGGATGTGAAATTGTTTGACAAGTTATGTCATTTACTAAAAAGTATTGGCGGGTTAGCATCAACTAGAAATACAACTGTATAAGAGATGGTGGCTAGTTTTCTTCACATAATTGCGCACCATGTAAAGAATAGAGTTCTTAAAAGACAAACAAAAAGATCTAGTGAGACAGTTTCACGAAATTTCCATAGAGTGCTGCAAGCTGTGTTGAGACTGCATAGACTTCTGCTGAAAAAACCAGATCCTATCTTGGAGAATTCAAATGATGACAGATGGAAATGGTTCAAGGTACACAT